GGGGGCGCATTTGCTCGCTGACCGCCCCATCCTGAGCCGTCGAGGTGTCGAAGCTGTTACCAAAATAACCCACGCAGCACGGCAGAAGCGCCTCGGGGGAGAATAAGCGAGGGAATGAAAGGCCCCGGCGTCGCAGGCGAGAGCTTGTCAGGCTCCTTTCCCCGGGGTACAAAGGACGGACGGCTTGATTTGTGGGGAAGGCAGTTCTGTGACAAATGGGGAACTCGGGGAAACTATTCAGGTCTCCCCCCGGCAGCTGAAGTTGAGGCCGTTTGAATAGCGAGCGCGGGGGCGAGGGGGTTCGTTGTCGTCGACGCACTGGAGCAGTTTTAATTGGAGGCAAGTGTCTTTGCAGAGAACAGTTGCGGAGAGCGAAGAAGCAGGTGGCAAATTCTGGCTTTCCCAAACCTCTGTCTATTGCTGAGCGGCCGCACTGGGCAGTGACTAAACAGAAAACTTGCATCAGTAAATACTCTCTGCTGCTTGTGATACTTCTTTTCTCTCTTTTCCCCCTGTTTTCGGGGAAGTCTGTCTCTAAAATACAGTGGTTATCTTGTCAGGTCTGCCCGCATTGATAATCCGTCGTCGTGTCACGCTAAACCCCTTTTTAAAATCAGCGACGGCGTTGTGTTCCCGCTCAGTTACGAGGCTGTGCTCGCTGAGGATAAGTCCTAGTTGTGTGCAATTTCCTTTTTAGAACTCTTTAAGGAGATAATCCCATAAAGGTCTCTGCAGCTGGTTTGCTGCTGATGAGCCTTGGAGGGCCCTGTTGTGGATGCGGAGGAACTCCCGGGCATGCTCGGTGGAGTTTGATGCTGCCAACAAAGTTGCTTATCTTCTGCGAAAGAGATAACAGGAGGGATCCGTGCGGGAGATGAGTCGGAGGAGCAATAGCCCACAGCTGTATTTGTGCCAGTTCGCGGTTGGCTTCAGAGCGAGAGGGTTACGTTACGTGCGTGGGCACCTGTAGAGTTTCAGCCTTCCGGCGGCTGAATTGTTAAAAAGAAATAGATGTGGTTTATTTCTTTTTTGCAAGACTGTTACTGTTTCTTTAGGAATTAAACGGGAGTGAGTGTTTCCAGAGAGCCGTGCAGGACATGCCTGACTTGCAGGAACAACTGAGAAGGCATTCGGTTATTTGCCTTGTTCACCCGTGCTGCAGTCGTAGATTGTCTCAGTAACGCCGGAGGTTTGCTCCCGGGAAAACACACCTACATTTTGATTCTGTGGAAACCTTCGGAAGATTTATTCTGGGGAGATAGCGGCATCGGGTTAGATTGTAAGAGATCCATCAGCGTGGACGAGCCCGCGCTGTGCAAATTCCTTACGCCGTCGTGTGCTGTATAACCTCAGACTTACTGTTGATAGCAAATAGAATGTTTCCATTAAGGTGTCATATAATATTTGTAGTCCCTCTCAAATCCTTTCACGAGTTAGACAAAATTTATGTCTCCTAATTGCATTAGGCTCACGGGGTAACTCCGACATTTTAAATTAAAGCATATTGACGTTGCACCCAGATGAATTGCCTAACCTTTGTGTGCTTGCTCAGGAAAAGATGTTATGGATTACTAGTTAACTCTAAGTTATTCATTAGGAAATTTAGACCTGGTGAGTAAGTATTTTTGATAATGCTGTCATAACCTTTGCTGCTTGGTGTAGGTGGGTTGTCGGCAGCGTTTTGTTTATTTCCTCGTAAGGCATAACTAATCCTAACGGAGATCTTGGTGAAGACCTGAGCAGAGAGGAAATCTTCGAGGCAGGCTCGTCCGCATTTGCGGAAGCGTCTGCTGTGGGCTAAAACTATCAGGAATAGAAAATCCAATAATGATTCTCATTCCGTGACATCGGTCAACTTATCTGTTAATAACAAGCTTTTCTGACCTGGTCAGGAAGGGAAAAAATACGCTTCGCCAGTGTCTGCTGGGAAAAAAGAGTTTCTTTTGAGGCAAGCTATTGTTTTCCTTCACAGTTCAAACATTTCTGTGAAGGTCTCTTGTTTAGTACTTGGATGTAAAGTAAATAAGGATTGGGCATTAGAAGAAGTGGGTTTTCTTTCAGGATCTATATAAACCAGGAAAGCGCGGGCCGCTTTGCAACCTTAAGTTTAGTCAAACCTGTAAGGATGACTTCACCACTGTGGATTTACTTCTCTTCCAGGGTTTGGGCCGTTCGGAGAGCACGCTGTTAACGCCAGTTGGATTGCGGTTCAGGTAACGCTATAACTTCGTTCTTAGCAAGTTAAAACAGAGAGCTGTGCTGATAACGTACCCGTACAAATTTTAGTTTGCGGCTCTTTCCTAACTTGTCTTCCCAGTTTATTAACTGAGACCAGCTCGCTCCAGATATCCAGATGGTCAGCTGGATAATGTTTTATTCACTTCTCGGAAAACAATCCCTTAGCTAGTAGAATTTAATGAGATTGAGTTAATGTGGCTGAGGCAAGTCAGGAATTCGTAGGCTAACTCCATAGGTTTGAAAGATGTTAAATGGGGCAGGGAGCCCGGCATCTTCCTCTGCCGTCGAGAATTCAAAATAAACAAACCAACCAACCCAGAAGAATTTTTACGTTTTTCTCTCAGTTCTAGCTTGAATCTGGGCAAGTCGGTTAACCTTTAAGCCAAGCCTCATCCGTAATGAGACTTCCAGCCGGTAGTCTTGTGGAGTCAAGCGTACTGCAGAGTTGTCCGGCGTGGGCCTGAATGTCAGGACTCTGACCCCAAAGCAAAGCAG